AGCTGTCCACCCTACTTTTCCACGGTTTGATTCATGGTTCTTTCACGTTTCTTACCCCATAAACGGGTTTTCCCACAGCTGCCTTTCAGCTGCCGTCCGCCGCTCGTCCGCTGCTGTCGCGAGTCTGCAGATGCGCACAAACTGTTTGTTGAAAACACCTTCAATTTGACCGGACTCTTCACCTTGCCGTTGAGCCACTCCTTTTCTCGGGAAATTGAGTTAACTGAAAACCAATGTCAGAGTGTGTGTGTGTGTCCCTGAGTGTCCTGTGTAGTTAAGCACGTCAACTGTGTCTTGAAGATTTGTGGGTCTAGTTCTAGTTGTGAAAAGGGCATCGCTACGAACGGAGCGATCGGACACTACGAACGGGGCTCCTGGCCGTACAAACGGAGCAAGAACATTCGGCCAAGAATCGGGTTGTCCATAGGGAAAAAGGTTCATATACCCCAGCCTGGCATCGAGACTGTCGTTGGTGAAAAAACAGTTCTTGTCGGCCTGCTTTTGGCGCCAGAACGGCCTCATGTTCTCTCAAAAGCAACCGTCTGCTCAAAAGCTCTTCTGTTGCCGTTGGGTTTAACTCGTGAGGCCCTGTCTTGCTGCATCCCTACAACTTGGAAATCCAGAATGGGAAGAAAGGGCCACCGATGTCTTTATGACAGTTTCGTCTACTGCAAATGATGACAGTTTCGTGTTCCCAGTTTGGACCCTACACCGACTGCCTTTGGCTCAGGTCCTTCCAGTGGTGCCGAGTGAACTTGGGCTGACAACCTTGATGCGCAGTACGCATCTGCTTGCCAGGATTATTTGCGGGAAGGATAGAAAGAAATCGTAAGAACCCTCCCCTACGTGATGAACATTTGGCAAGGATCCAGCAATCGTGCAACACAGCAATACAATCCGAGCCATTGCACAGAGTCAGTCTCAGCAATAGTACAATATATGTGGATATGTGTGTGGGACAAGTCGATTTGCAACGCTCTGCAATTCTGGATCTTTGCTGACACATCTTAAGCTGGTGGAGTGTATCACAAAGTATGGCGGGATGAAACGTGATAGAGAACAGGAAGTCAACTGGCTCTAAATAGAGTAGCACCAAGAAGCCTACAAATGGATAAACAGTAACTTGAGCAAGAATCATGTTAAACCCGTGGGTCCAAGGTCCTACAAATTGCGAGGAATTGCTTTTCTCTTTTTCAGCGACCGGTCCGGTCTTTCCAGTGCTCCCAGCGGTGCCGCCCTTGCGCCCGCTGAACCCACGAACCACACGCGGTGCGAGAAAAGGCACATTTGCCGTTGATTGGCCAATCCACACAGCGCAAAAAGAAGGTGGACATGACTTCTCCACGGTCTTGTCCTCAACTGGGCGAAGTCGAGCGAGTGAACTCACAAAGTTACCACCTCGAAGTAAATGGGATATAAATACCTTTGGTGGATCTTCACGAGTCAATGAAACTCAAAGACATGCTTTTGAACAGAACTTCACCCTCAGAAGTCTTGAAACATGGTGCCTTTGCAACATGGTCTTTGCGCTAACATCGGTCAACGACCTACAGGAGACATTGTTGCCTTGAAACTCTCTCAGATCTACAAGATTCAGAACGCCAGCAGAATAAACTTATTTGGGATCGGTTGACAATGCAAGATTGACTTTTGACCTGACAGAAACGAGCTAGTCCCCAAATTAAACACCAGGAAACACCAACGCAAGATTCCGCAAGATCTTTATAAAGTCACACCTCAAAGGCTAGTGCTGATGAATCAAAGAGTTCCCTTGCGTTTCCCGAAAGGGCACGATACCACTTTAACACATCCCTATATATGTATACAATATATGCATTCTATCCGAAGGAATGCGTGAGATCAACAATCACCACTGGAAGTACTTGTATGCACAGGGGATCGCGATGTGTGACTTGCTAGTCTGGAATCTCTTTCTCGCAGTAAGATCTCAAAATAGGCTAGATACATACATAAAATATACTCTGCACAAACTTTTCTGACTACTGTGATGGTGACCCCCCAACTGGGTTCTGTCCAACCAATTTGGCCATGCTGCTGTTCAAGAAGATGCATAGCAAGTTCCTGCTTGGAAGCAAAGCCGTCACAATTGACAAGCGAAGCTGGGCTGTAAGAAAGCTTGTGGATCAGCATATTGAAACAAGTCTCACTGTAGGTTCAACAACCTCTACCTACTTTGACCTCCAAACTAGCAGGGCTGGAATTGGAATCCAGGAGTCAATAACATGTGTGTACATATATATATATATATTCATATATTCATATACACACACATCATTGCAAAGCCCCTGGTGAAAGGTGGACTCCGTTGCCACACTTCTGTGGAACTTGGGCATGCCCGGAACAATGGGTCTTTTCAGGAAACGTGGTAAACTCCTCAACTCCTTATTGTATATATAATATATAACATATACATAGACTAGAGTCTAGAGAGAGAGGGAGAATCAGAACCTGGACATGGCATGGGACATCCCATGTCACGTCGAGCATGACCCCCAACCGCACCTTTACCGACCAACGTCATCTCGACACCATACCTGTTCAAACAGTGACGTCGCTCGTGCCTGAGCTGTCGGGTCAGGAGCCACACCCGAGAGCTGATAGCTCTCATGGCCCATTGCACCTTGGCCACCTGCCTCCTCACTGAAGGATCCTCCTCGCAAAGGTCTTGGCAGGTTTGGTGGGGTCAAGTCTTAAGGAGCAGAACTCATCTTGCTTGGAGTCAAGTCGGTTGACCTCTGTCTGTTTGCTTTTCAAAACGGTCCAATAGTACAGACTGTACAGAGAAGCCTGTGGTCGCTCCAGGACATCATCCATACACTGCGGAAACTTGGATCGAACTCTCAGGATTCGAAACGGGAACAGTCACTACCCACCGCCCGGAAACATTCGCCCCAAACCGCAAACACGGTGTTCTTCTTTTGGGACGCTCTGTTGGTCCTTTCAAACATATTGCATTTCGAAAACGACCGGATCAAAGAGCTCTGACAAGAAGTTGAGTCGATTCGGCCAGGGCTTGGTGTCCGGTGACCCCGAACGAAGACACATGGTGATTCGAGGCACGTGCCCCGCATTGCAACAAAGAAAACATGGAATATCATAAACAAACAAACATGTGTTGAGCATGTGAACAATCAAAACGACATAAAGTGGACATTAATCAAGCATTCAACATCAGTGCCAGCTTCAGCTTGCTCCACATGCCCTGTCCGCTCTCCTGGTTTCCTTCCCGGATCTTGGGTGCCAAAAGGTCCTGATCGTGGATGACCAAGGGATGTTCAAACCGCTACACTATGGATTTCATGTATTTGGGAGCGCTGTGGCAATGGAGGCAACTGCGCATGCAAAATCTCAGGGTCAGAAATGACTGTAACAAGACCTGGGACCTCTGACCTGGATGCTAAGTTCTTTTTGAACATGTCTCAGCAACCATTTTGTCATGGCTCTCAAAGAAATAAGTCCAATGTGTCGCTGCACCACTTTGTGGTGTCAATGAGGATGGGTCTGAGAGAAAGTGGCATGTGTTGTGTGGCCTGAAGAGGCCGGTTCCGTGTCCACAAGGGATGGTCTACCGGAGCCACTGGCTGCCACGGGATCAAAAGATACGAAACAATTGACAGGATGGCTTGTTACTAATTTGTAGCTTTTTGCTCCTAGTAGTACGGCCAGGAGCCCCTAGTAGCGTCCTTGCTCCGTTCGTAGCGATGCCAGGAGCCCCTAGTAGCTTCTTGTTACTAGTAGCTTGTTGCTCCTTCCTAGTAATGGCCTCCAACCTAATAGCGATGGCCTCCACCCAGTAGCTTCTTGTTCTTCTTGGAGATGTCTTTCCTCCAAGATCTGCTTGGGTCAAACAAGATGATGAATTCAAGTGGTGTACGGTGTATACACCTTGCATTTCACATTTTTTGGGGAGTCTTCTCATCAGGTCTTCCCTGGAGCCTTCCCCTTTCCTCGGACCGATGCCCAAGGCTCTGCGAGGGCAGCCAGCACTTGACCCCACGCGTCCGACGCCACGGGCGAAGCGTCCGCCGGGGGCCTGGCGTCCGACAGATCGCAAGGCCGGCGATCGTCCTTGAAGTATCACCATGATTTGTTCGTGATCATGCAATCTGTTCTTTTTGCAATCGTTCTTGCCTTTGGCTTGTCATGCTTCTTGGAGGAGCAACAGCAATCTTGGCGACGAACCCACACGCCCCACACTTGTCATACTCGTGATATCTCTCTTTCCAAGTGGTGAGGAAACACAATATGATCTACACGCTCCACGAAACAAGCAACCACGATCTGTCAAAGGAAGCTAGCAGCAAGCACGGTGTCAAAACGAAAGCCTTCGATGTTAGGCACCTATAAAGTGCCACGAAGTCGAAGGTCAGTTGCCCAGAGGCCGGCAAGCGCCAGTCGATGTCAGCCCAACCCAAAAACTTCCCTCAGCGGGGCATCCGAGGTCCCTCACCGGATCAGCTCAGCGAAAGCGGGTGCGGCGAAGCCAGCGGTGCCGGTCGCCACCGGTCGGGTCGAGACCGGGTCGAGACCCCGACACCATCCCACCTTCCTGAGGTCCCTCGGGTGACCAGAATCTGGTGTTTCAGCTTCAATGAGCCCTGCATGGATGTCGGTACATTCACTGACTTTGGTGCTGCAAAGTGCCAAAGTCTGGTTGTGGTCTGTGGGTACCGTAAGACCTGCTCAGACTGCTTCGTCATAGAGTTGCACCTCCTGTGCCGAGCCACCATCCAAGAGTGTGTTGCGAAGGCATTTCCTGGAGGAAACTCTGCAAATGCTCTGGACGCTCACTTTTCCTACTGCTCTTACTTTCCAAAAGGGTGACCCTTCCAGATCCTTCCAGTGATTTCGGCACCAATGATACGTAAGGGTATTGCACTAGTTGTAAAATGTCCGGAAACAGGGGTCCAGCAACAACCCCCAACTACCTTGCAAGTGACATCCTTCTCAAACCTTCTGTCATCGTCTGTCATCCGTCTTTGTGAAACTCAATTGGACAGCTGGAACATCGTGGCCATATCTGGGCATGGAAACACCGCCCTTGGTGGACATCAACTGGCGCATCTTGGCAACTGAGGTGCCCCTTGCCATCCATGCTGACGTCCACGAGATTGGCCTTCCTCCACAAATGGAGCTGCCAACGATTCAGCAGCAGCAAATGTTGTGCCACCACGCGTGCAGGCAGGGACTCCTGGAGTCAAGGGGGACTGTCCAAACATGGAGACCTCTTGACTCGTAGAAGGAAATCATGTGCAAATTTACAATGAACATTAATGGACTGTATATAATATATTTTAATATATATATATTATAATATATATATATATATCATATGATATATTATATATATATATCATATGATATTATATATATATATACTCAGCAACTCACTGAACGGAGTATCTTCCCTGCGCAAAACAATTACACGCCCCAACATAATGGTAGCCCTCCATACACGCCTGAATGAATCATGTGCCACGTGCTAGTGAGTTCAGCCTGCATAAGTTGATGTGGCAGAACTTCAAAGCAAACCATTACAATTATAACAACGTCAACTTCACAACCCTCACACATATTTACCTGGCCCACTGACAGAACCTGCCAACAGAACCCTATGCTCCGGTATTTTCCAGCAACTAAGGTGCCCCACCAGACGCAAAGCATAGTGCCCTGTGGGGTTCTCCAGATTTAGAGCCATGTGTTCTGCAGCCACCTTCTCGAAGTCCAGCATCTCCTGGGAGTCGAAAGGCCAAGACATTTCGTCTACACCCAGTCACGGTAAAGGACACCAACACCTCAAAAAATGCAGATAGTTGACCAACATGAGCTATAACGCTGGATGTCCCAAACCCTGGATGTCTCCAAAGCATTTTCTCCAAACCGCTGGATCGCGAGCGAACGGACGCACCAGGCGTCGCAGCACGGACCGTCCTGGATGGAGTCCGTGTTCCGTGCCGCATGCATCAGCGCGTAGGGGGACATCAGCGTGGGCAGCATGCGGAGCAAGGTCTCCTTGGCTTTGTCGCCTGGCAGACCCAGTAGGGATTTTGTTCCAGGGTCAATCAGAGTCAGGGAGCCAAAGTCAACTCGTGGGAATGCAAATGAATGTTTAGAAAGGGAGTTTGATGGCCAAAGTATGCCAAGGTCCATCACATGTTATGAGTTATGACTGACAAGCTTTACCTCATGAAGAGAACAGTGGTTTGTGACCGCAAAGCGGTAAGGGTTCGACCTGTTCCAAGCTTGGAACACAACACGAGGAGCGGCTGGCCTGCCTTGGTTCATGTAGATGGCCATAACCTGTAGAACAGTGCATCATATGTCATTGCATCACAGGTGACAAAGTGTGCCAGGCTGAGACATTGACGAATGCACGAGAAAAGCGGATCAAAACACAACACCAGTACATTCAGAAGAATCCGTTTTGCTTTGGGTCCAAACACAAATTGCACCAACATGTTCACCGACAACATCAACACATGCTGTGCCTGGTCCCTGGAGAGATGGAAGTAGTGCAAGAGGGCAGTGATGAAAGCATCGAAAATGGGGCCCCTTAAGCTGCTGACCTGACCGGCAGGCCCAGGAGTGTCGCCAAGTGTCAGCCCTCGAGATCTTGGTGTATGGGAAAAGTGTGTTCTGCTTCCGTAGCGTCACATGATCTTACCCCTCATGGGAGTAGGCTGAGTAGCAGCAATTCCAGACTCACAGACTGACCTTGTTAGTACCTTCTCATACCTTCTCTGTGTTTTGTCGCTCACTGGGCAGCGAATGATGCCACAGCGACGTCCACAACTACCCAGGGTCCGGTCTGATGTGGAAGACCCTAAAACGAACGCTGCGAAGGGGGTCAGGAGAGAGTCATCTCACTGAGAAGCATTAGTTGAAGGCTAAACGGAGGGTGTGTGGAGAAAGGGGGGTCAGCAAAAATCGCTTATATATTAAATGAAGTTAGTGCATCAAAAATACCTTCCACGAAGTTCTGCGAAGGTTTCTGGGATTTCGTTGCAGTCAGTTCTCCCACTGGCCCACCATTCCACGAACTGTCCACTAACAGCCTTGGGTTCTACGAAGGTCACGCGCCTTCCACGACGTTAGTAGAATAGGTTTTTGCAAAACCCTTTCTGTGCACTACCCTTCCGTTTGCCTTTGATTAGTACTGCGTCTACTACCAATTGTCGTGTAAACGACCAAAATCGAAATTGACGCACCAAGCCGCACATTGACAGTCATTGAATCATGCCATCGAAAGCAACTGCCCTGGCCTTCTGCAAGACCACCAGGGCCCTCTTCCTGGAAAGTAACCTCCGCTTCCTTGAAGCAAAAAACAATTCCCGGTGCTGTGCTGTGAGGGCTTTCGACAGAAGTGGATTGCAGGACTTTGCTTCGAGGCACTGGGCTTCTGAGTCACCTTTAAACATCTCTGGAAGTCAATGGCATGCCCATGCATGCCCCTTAGCAAACTCAAGCTCTATGAATGAGAACAAAAAAGAACACACAGTTACAGACTCGAACAAATCTCGAAAGAACTCTCACAAAAAGGCCACCCCCGGCCCCGGCCATCCCTCCTCTTCAGAAACATCCGCTCCACCACAGCCGAGTAGAGGCGTTCGTTCTCCCCCTCATCCTTTAGGAGAAAGTCACTGATGTTCAACCTCGGCGAATGCCCGAGATGCATCTGGCTTGCTTCGCCGAAACCAAAGTTGCTCTGGAGACTCAATCGTGCCACTGCAGGAGAACTGGCGGGCACAACATGCGTCAGCTATCCATGAACTAAACAATAAAGCTAGGAGCCACAACCTGATTCCCAATCAAACAAGCGTGGATCCACCGACTTAGTAAAAAGCAAAGACATTGAGAAACGCGTCACAGCATTAAATCCCCGGTGATCGCGAGCTTCCACGACGTTCCCAAGAACATGAACCCGCTGACGCATCCGCCACATCCGTACCCTTTCCTCTCAGGCTCAGCCACACGAAGTCAAGAACCCCCGCCGTAGGCACCGTCCAAATGTTCTTGCGTTTCCGAACTGCATCTACCTGGAGCAGGGGCTTAGCTAGGAGTTCAGGAATATCCAGAGGAGCCAGATAAAATGCCCGAATTATGTTGGGTTGCCACTGCCCTCTTAGAGTACTTGTGCGCATATTCTACTTTGCACATTTGCACCTCAACCACACTGAGATTAGCCACTCAATGGACTGAGACCCCGAAAGAATCGACCAGGCGTTCGGCATGTTGCTGCCGAACCAAGGCACATTGTAGGGTGCTGGCGGAGTCTTGGGCGATGTGGTAAGCGTGGCACCTCGTTCAAGAGCTCTGGACTGGGTTTGGCCATGACATATTCTATTGCATCCGGCCATAAGAATTGGCGCTTGTTGGTCCAAAACATTGTCATCATAGCAGTCACCAGGCTGAGAGCACTTGCCATATATGCATCCAACCACTGTCATTTGAGAGTAATGATATAATCATATAAGGCTTACATGACAGTTTGCCAGCCAGGCATTGTGAACTTGCGAGCATGTGGCCGATGGCCCTTCTGTCTTGTGCAAGCTGTGTAAATTGGATGCGTTCGGTTGAATGCGATATCTTTGTCGACAAGATCAAGATCACCCACGACAATGCTACATTGAACAAAGAACAAGTAACAAGAACTTTGCTCGTTGAAACAAGTAACACATGGGGCGTGGGCAGTCCTTCTCATGTCCAAGTCATACCCTGGTTTCCTTTTCACTGCCAAGCTGACCAGAATGATGTGGCATGCAAAAGCACGTGTGCAAAGGATTTTCACAGACTCGCAACGCAATGCTTTATTATCGCTGGCGGCTTCGGACGATGCATCCAGTCATTCTTGCCGGGCAAAGCAGTACGAAGCAGTCCGCAGTACCTTTTTCAGAGCCACTCTTTTGTTGCGGAACCCGCCCCACTTCGTTTCACTTGCCCAGCTCCCTGCTCTCGGCGACCCGACTCTTGATGTATTGGCTCCGGCTGCCCATGTCGGAGAGCTGTGAAAGCAGCAGCCGGAAGGAGGTTCGTGGCCCCGGCAGTGTCAAATCCAAGCGGTACTGCCCAGAGGGGTCCTCGGTGCTGAGCAAGGCGGTTCTTCGTTGGTGGGAAACATGATGAAAGATCTTGAGGTTAAAGGCTTTTGGGTGAACTGTTGACATGACATGAACCTTACTTCAAGATACTTTAGCAAAACCTGTTAAAGTTGTAAAGCACATCGTCTTTGAGAACGGATTCCACACTCAGCCCTGCCCTGCTGTCGCTTCCAAACCTTCGCATGTGCGGCAAACCTGTCCGAGGCACCACTTCGAAGAACTCTACGGCCGCATCTCGATCCTCTGTCGCCTCCAAGCATCACTCGGGAAATATGCCGTCGGTGAGAACACCCTGCAAGTAAAGCGGAAAAAAGAAACTTTGGCTCAACTCATTCCAGTTCCTGATTTCAATTAATGGGGCAGCAGTTACCCACACCTGAACGTCATCCATCCGGATCTCCCCCAAGTGTGGAGATTTGTCCGAGGACAGCAGGCGAGCCCTGGGTCACATCTTGGCTGGCAAGTGACAGAACTCATCGGTTTGCACCATCTGCAACTTGAATTAAGCAATTCCAGCGGCCGACATGGGTATCCACCCTCTATACCTCCGGCTTCGACCCACGGTCATCAACTGCACCAAGACACATGGACCCAAGGCCACCTTGTCCCAGAGGATTGTTGGAGACATCCAGCAACTCCTAAGAGTCGCATCCGAACAGGGTTCTTCGGTGAGTTTGTCAGATCTTGAACCAATGTTCATGGCCTTGTTGGAGACCAGCGATGCCCTTGTGGAAGAATGTTCACAACATCCCTAGTCAACAAGTGGTCAACACTCATTGGCCGCACGGTGCAGAGCCCTCACATGTCAATCTGGTGTCCCAGAATCCTGGGATGGGATTGCACTTGTTCCAGCTTGTTCCAGCTCAGTCTCTATTGAAGGATGTGTCTGCAAGCCATACTCCAGCATCATGGCAGCGTTCTCGTCCAACATATTGTCCTTGTGCATGAACAAATGAATTCAGTTACTGTATATTATACGCTCGATTCTATATTATACTGACTCCCTGATCATGCACCCAACTACATTCGACTCTTACACCCACCAAGTTTGAAGAACAACAACAAAACGCTCGCTTCTCAGAAAATGTTTCTGTATCCTTCACCGTTCAAAGAAAACACGTTGGTCCAACGGTCGCTGCGGACCGTGCGGCGGCTAGGTCCAGGAACTTGAGGCTTTTGTCGGCAGGCAGCTGTTCCAAAAAGCCGGACATCGGAACGTAGGCCTGGTTCCGATGGCATCTGTTACAGAGGACGGCCCTCCATCTTGAGAGGGACCCATCAGAAGTAGATGGGGAATCTGAAAGCAGAATCTGGAAGCTTTGGTCATGATAAGATAAGCAAGTCACCTACAGTAATTGTCTTTGGGATCACTTTGGTGACTTTGATGATCATTTTGGAACGAATGTCCATGTCTATTCGAATGGAGCAGAACCGACACTCATTTGCAGTCGGGAATGGAATGTGAAGCGAGCAGCTCCTGCAGTCTTCGTATGTGTACTGGGTTAGCACTTGGCTGAGGTCAGGGCCAGGACTGAGGCAGTCTTCGCTAAGCCCAAATGTTCGATCTGGCTGCCCTTGAAAAGGCTATTGCCCAGCACCTGGAGTCATTTCCCAAATCACACGCACCCCCACACAGATCGCTGGTGAATGTCAAGACAAGTCCTGGAACTGTCACCTGCTGTCCTGTCCTGGAGGCCTACAAACTCGCCGACCTAATGTCCTCGGTGTCAAGTCCAGCCTGAAAGACCCCAGGATCACAAAACAACGGCAAATTCTTCACTAGGACCACATGTCCTTATGCAAATGCCTTTGAACAGCAAACTATAGAGGGTCTTCAGGGTCTTGCAAGTATCTTGCTCAAGTACCAAGCGGTCTGTGGTCAAGTCCTGCTCCTAGTTTCATGAACATCAAATGGATGTGTCTGCTTTCTGGCATTTTCCAACCTCATGTACGAAGAGGCCTTAAAGGAATTCATCGAAAGTCAGCCTCCTGTCCGATGTCCCTTGACCCCGTGTTGAAAAAGGCTTCCTGCAGCCCGCGGAGGTCACTGAGGGCTCGGACACTGAATGCTTCAGGATCAAAGTGATTGTAGCCCAGGTCCTCAGGATTCGGACGCACGAAATCACACGGCACTCTGCGCATTCAGGGGCGCACAAGTGGAGGCACCACTCGCCCTTTTTTTGTCGGCCCAGATTCTTGGGTGTAAATGCTGAAGCTAGAGACTTTGACCATGTGGTCAATAGCTTGATACAAGATTATACAGGTCAGTAAATCATGGCATGGAAATGGATAGTCCAACCAAGCTCCTTGAGGCCGCACTTGTTTTGGTCTCCACACGCACAGGGGTGGAGGAAAAACTGTTGTTCTGATTCTGCGAAAGAGTGATGTTCGCCCTTTCGTCGTCCTCATTTTGTACAAACTAGTAGATCGACAGAACTGCCGGGAAGAACATCCTGCATGAGCATGATGAAGCACCCAAAAAACATTATTGAGGATACTGAGGATACCAAGGTATCACTAGATGGTGAGCAGGAAATCCTGGGTATGATCCATCTCCGAAGTCTGGACGTCTTCCTTCAGTTCCACTGATCACCAGTGTGGAACCAAGCTCCAAACGAAGCTGCCCCACATCTCCTGCCGCATCTCACCCATTTTAGTAACCTCAACTTGATGCTTCATCTGCACAGCAATCCAGCCAGTGGTGACGACCCCGCCATTCCGCACGAAGATGCAATCCTTGGACGGACTTGAACAGCCGCTTCCAATCCAAGGAAATTGCGATCAACATCGAAACCTACTTATATGATATTATATGATATGTGTATTTGATTGTATTTGTTGTTTGGTTTCTCACAGCCGGAAAACAAGCCGGTTCCCATTCCCCACATGTTGTTTGCAGCTCCAGTTGAAACCAGGAAGCTTCCGTTCCAAAGCATACAGCACAAAAAAAAACATATGGACAAAACAGCTGTTGTTTCATACAATGGTCTGTGGGCCCAAGGGAACAAAGAGTAATTTCCTGTAGCCTTGAGGAGAGCTCCTCCAGATTGGCGGACCCTGGATCGTTCCTGAGCCGTCGCAGGTTGGAGACGACCACATTGGCCATCGCTTCAGCTGGATAAATGTCCTGAAAAGGCGGAGAAGACTCCAGGCTTTACGGCGTTCCGTGAATAAATTCACTATTGGGCCAAGGAAGATCACCAAAATATTGCTGTCAACAATGTTCTGTAACCAAACATATTCCAAAATACAAGTCAGCAAATGCAAGGAAAGGTTAGGAATGAACACTCTCACATGATCACCCGGTGCTGTTCATCTCCTTGGTAAAGCGCATCTCAGTGCCGCGGACATTCACACAATCGCCCAGCGCGAAGATGCGCCCATCTGCGCTTGGATGGCCCTTGGAATCGATGCACTGCATGAAGCGGTTCGTGGTAATCTGCCCACTCGCATCCACGCACTCAAGAGTCGCTGCCATCCCGGCATGAAAGCCAAGACCAGCACATAAAAGCACCTGTTTGGGTCCAGGCGTTTCACCAGAGTGTTTGGCCAAGTCTGGTATTTTCAGGCAATCAGCACCAGCGACAATGAGTGCTTTGATGGTGTTTTGTGGAGGGACTCCAAAATCGAACTTTGGACCCGAAAAAGCTGGAGTGAACCTCTCCAATGAACTTGACCAATCTGTCCACCATGGTCTCCTCTGCACCGTCAGACCATGTCAGACCCCGGGGCCCCCCAAGCGGCCCTCATTCCCCCACTCCACCGGAGTCCAACCTTCGCCTCATCGATCTCCAGTGCCTTTAACAAGGCGGTCTCGTCGCGGGGCAGTTCGCAGCCCAGCCGCAGGTCTACGCCATGCTCTTTGAGCCACGTTTGGGCATAGTCCTCCAGTGAAGGGTGAGAACGAGTGAATACTACTGCTACTCCAAAAGAATTCCAAGTGGATGGTGAGGTTGATGGACTCCTCAGAAGAAGTTCACCAAGGTATGCTTGACAACCAAATGAGTTGAGCTGGCCATTGAGCTAAAAAAATATTGAAGCGTCGAGAAATACCATCTGTAACGTCTGGATGTCTTTGGTTGCTGTGGATAGATCATGTTATATAGTTAGATGAGTTTAGATTGCCCCTTTCAATATCATGGGTGGCTGATGGTGGCTGTGCGGCTGTGCACTCATTGTGCCATTCCAAGTTCCAACCTTTCTCAAAGCGCCCCCACCTGACCTGCGCATCCTTCGGCAAGACCGGTAGGACCGTCTGACTTCGGTCTGCAAGGACCACTCGAAGCGTGGGGAAGTAATGCTTCACCTCCGCAGCCAGTTCAACGCCTGCAAGTTCGGTCTACGCAGCTGGGAAAGTTCTGCGTGGCGCACTGCCGATTCAGTCCACAAGGCACGGTGGACCAAACTTTGAACACATCCGGACAATTTTGCCAAGAACTGTCCGGAACACTTTGGGTGTGTTGGAACACTTTGAAGAGAAAGATTTGGGTGATGAGTCCAAATTCCATCAGATTCCTGTTAGGCCCCCCAAGAAGTCCCATTCGCCCCACACAGCACGTGTCAGAAAAAGCGCAGAAGGTGCGCGCTCCGAAGGCCTACCAGGCCAGCTCCCAGTAGCACCAAAGTCTTTTGCTCCTTCACGACTCACCGGCACCGACCTCTCGCATTCCGTCAAGACACTCCACATAAAGCAAGAAATGGTCCAGCGATAGCCATTCATGCTGGATAGGTATGTTTGGGAAATCCATAGGAAACCGGAATCTTAAACATGTCGAGAAACCCCATCTTTATTTGGGAGATGATAGACAAGTAGATAGTTGGGACGGGGAGGTACTTCCGATTTCAAGCAGCCCAGCCCGGAGCTGTCCTTCTCCAAGTCTTCCAAATTTTGACGCATCGCCTCTAGGCTCTTCCGCCTCCCTATCAGGCTAAGCTCATCAGCCTCTGCAGCTCCTGTGTGGGACAGCAAAGTGGTAGATGGAGGGCACCAAAGGGATTGATAATGATTGATATGTGTTCTTTTTCCCGGTGCGCTTGCAGGTTCATGATTTCATGGGGTGTTACAGAATGTTACAAACCAATTTTCAAGGGGTCGATAGCAAAACATGTACAGTCACACCAAGAAACATATGCCCTCTTCATCCCTCATCATCCCACCTGAGACTTTCCATAGGCTATTCCCCGCATATTGAGAGCCAACTGCGACCACCGCGTAATCGAAGTCCACTGCCATCAGGCCATGCACCGGACTGTCGACTTGAGCGCTGCGCTCGGAAAGCCGGACTACTCGGCCCTTGATGTGGTTGACCCTCATACCCGCGAGGGCATCCTCGCGAGGCCGTACAGTGAAGGTGTGGCATGGTGTGGCTGAACAAACAAGTCTGCGCAACAGGTGACCTGCTCCCCCCGAAGTACTTGCAACCCACAAAAACCAGGTGGAAAACATCGCTGCTTGAAATTCTGAAAACCAGGGTGGTGATGCAAAACCGTGACATCTTGCAACATTAGGAGAGCCATCACAGGTAGCTAGCAGTCTAGTCTTGATGTTTTTGTCTATTTCGATCCCCACCTCGAGAGGCAGCAGCAAGGTCTCCAGGTGCTGAGGATGGCAAAGGCCTCGGAGGATGCCCGGAGTGAACTCATAGTAGTCCTTGGGCTCCACCAACGTCACCTCGGTCCGAGTGCCCACCTACTCGCTTCGGTCCGAGTGGTCAAGGACGGGAGAAACAAGAATCAGAGAAGCACATTGCACATCGCTCAAAATACACACACCAGCTGCGCACAGCTGATGGAGGCATCAAGCGAAAGAAGAATGCTTCATGGTCAAAGAGTACCAGCTTGACAGGACTTCTGTCGCTGTCGCAGCCTTCATTCGTCTTCAGTTCCTGGTTCACTCCCACCTCGAAGTCCTTCCAGAGCTGTCGTAGGATTTGGATCCCTGAAGGCCCACAGCCAATCACCAGTAGCCGCCGGCCGGCTTTTTCAGGATCCTCCTCCTGCCACCAGCCCAAGGGATTGAAGACACGGCAGTGGGAGCGCACAGCCGGCATGGACGCGCGACGCAGAGCGTGCCGGCAGTAGAAAGGCTTCGCCGAGCCAAACGGCCAATGAAAGATGATCAATCGAAGTCACCAGGACAGAAAACCACTTGTTGATCGTTCTGACGCCAGGAAGTAATTGATGGCACAGTGGAGCTGCGAAAGTTGCAGAAGGCAAGGAAGAGCAAACATCAAACTCTGCTTCAGCTGATGTCATTTGGTGATACCCGAATGAATGTGGCCACTCCCAGCTCATTTGCTTGTCCACATCGCCCGGTGCGAGTGTCTGGCCAAAACTGCTTTGTGATCGTTTGTCCAGTGCTATCTCCGGGCAACACTCAGTGTTGTCAAGACCCGTCTGTAACTCCGTTACAGTAATCTAACATCAAGAATATGTTTGGAAAGGGTGTCCCGGTACCACATTCCAATGGAAGGAAGACATATGTCATACGTGTTCAGGGTCTTCCCGCAAAACTTCCTGCGATCTCCGTCTTGACAAGCGTCCAGCTTCACAACCCTCGAGTTCCTGACCAAGTTCGGCAAGACCTGCTAGATCCACTGAGCTGTGCGAGACGATCCGGACTCCACTGAGAGGACAACTTCCTAAAAGGAGCTATGAGCTATGTAACATGATGGGTGGCTCCACAGCCTCCCATGTTCCCTTCTGGATAGAACTGCAAGCGCCAAGCGGGTCCTAGAAAACTACCAGGGGTCCCATATTTGTTCGCGTGCATCTGGCTTCCAAGAGGCAAACAGAGTGGAACCAGTTTGCTATTCAAGTGCTTTGACTTACTTGACCGGACCCAGCAAAGCAAGCATCCTGCTTCCAATGCATGCAGTATCATGCAGTAGTTTGGATGAACATGTAGCTCTGCTCTACCTGTGGACCTGTTCTCCCAGCGTTTCGATGTACTTTTGACAGATCTGGCTCGACTTACATCAAACATCGCAAGACCTGATTCCTTGCGCCTCGATGTATGAATCCATTGGTCATGTGCATATACTAAATGACCCAAGCAGGATTTGGATTGTGGCATATCACCAGTGCTATCTTCCCTCTGTTGGGGTCCCCCTGCGTTTGCCTAGTGTACAAAACCCAATATTGAAACTCAAACGCAGCTTCGTTTCCCTGGAGATTCTGCTTCCCTTGCTGTTACCTCCCCATACCTCAGATCAAAAAAGAATCAGGAACACCTACCATTGCCTGGTGTGAGTCTACTTGACGTCTCATTTGGGGCCAATCCTGCAAGTGGTCCCGGCGTCAACCGCCGTGACGTCCGTCCCGCCTTGGTGGAGAGGTCGGGGCTGATGCCGGTCCGCGCCAGCGACCTCGGCGGGGAGTAGCGAACGTTCGTAGCGCTGCCAGGAGCCCCGTTCGTAGCGTCCTTGCTCCTTGTGGTGGGGAAATGTGACATAGGTCTGTTCAAAAGCGACTTTTGATGTATTTGGAGGGCAGGCTGCCGTCCTTTCAAGGACGTCGACTTGTCTGGACTTGTCTGCACTGCATGCAGGAGAATTTACAGTAGCCTCCCAACCAGGTCAGGGAATCTGAAAGACCAGAGGTTGTAGGAGATCCCGCTGTGATCGGAGTTCTTCCTTCAACAAAAGAAATAACATGAAATAGAATAGATTGCAAACAATGTTCTCATGGCTTGCCACCCCTGTCAAGCCCCAGATTCATCCAGATTTGGGGGAGGAAAAAATGATGCCCAGGTGCCCAGGAAAGAGTGCTTTCATTCAACATTTGTAAATGACATGGTCCTTCTCACGGCGTAGAAATGTGGGAATATTCAGTTCTTCTGGGAAGTTCATTGGGGAACTATCACCCGCAAATTGCTTTTCCTGTGGATGTCGTATGCCACACACATTTTTGTGTACTCTGGGATCTTGTTTGCTAGTAGGAGATCCAGCAAATGTTCTGGTGCAGATCTGCTTTCTTCTCGCATGAATTCCACCCAAGGTGAACCCAGCTACCTTGAAACTGTGGAATGTAGAACTCTTAGGCGACTCCATTCAGTTCGGGCTTGCCATTGGCTAGGAAGCCAAACCGATGGAACACTATTCACGATTGCCCACCCCCCCTGAAAATCCAAGAAACACTTCTCGCAAGTGCTCATGTCTCTCAATCGCATTGGCCAGCTTCTGATAATCCTCAGCTTGGTGAGACCCAAAAACACAGTTCACAAAGGTTTCAACAATATCTTGCCTCTGAAATAGAAGATTTGGGTCAAGAAACCTTACCAAATTTGAGAATTCCAAGCGTCGCACACGCTCACATAGACACCGGAGATGTCGAGGCGCTCCAGATTCTGCATCGGGCCGTGGATCAGCCGCGTCAAGAGTTGGATGCATTTGCCTTGGTGCCAAGGCTCCCAACAGGCTCCCAACAGCCCCAGAGACATCAGAAACCAGTTGCTGTTGGAAGCAACTGAAAGGCAAAAACTTACGGTGTTCCGCGCGCGCCGCGCTCAGAACCAACTGAACAAACCATGGTGGCAACTTGGCAACTTCCCCAACGGTCAGACCTCCCTGAGGATCCCACGGCCGATGTGTGTGCACCTGTCCAAGCGCAAACTGCGTAACATGTCCTTGGAGCACAGGCAGGAACAGTTCCTACAACTTGCAGAAGTATATATGACCAAGCCTACTGTAATCAAAAGTGTAATACACTGTAAACTCAATTTGCCTCAAAGGATTGGTGGGATTAAAGGATCGAAGATGATGATCAAATCCCCAATGCCGCTGTAGTGCATATGCATATACATACATACTCGCATTTGTATGCATATAATATACATTGTACATCGTTACATCAATATACAAAAATACCATATATAATATATATATATATCTTTTTTGTATTGTCAACATACTTCTAAAAACACACCAAAAGCTCCGTATTTATGGCCCGTTGGCAGGGAAATCCTGGATCGTCGTCCGGGTACAGGATAGTAGAAAGTTTTTTTTCGTGTAAGGCATTGCTACGGTACTGTAGCGCCACATCCTTGACGAGTTCTGAGACAAACTATGTGGCAGGAACTTCGCACCTATAGGTTCAAAATGATTCAAAGAACAACTCCTGCATGGTTTGGAGCACCTTTGACTCACGAATCAAATCATATATATGTATATATATATATAAAGAATAACCTTGTAGATGCAGGTGCAAGATGATGATGACAGTGATGGACTGCAAACATTGTTCTTGTGGCTTATATCAATTATTCCTTGCTTTCAGACTTCTCCCATCTCCTCCACGAGCTTCCAAGAAAAATAGCACCAGGACCAGCATTCCCCCAAGGCCTCATGGAACCGGTGCCAAGCATCTCCATGCCTGGCGGCTGCACACTGAAGTAAAGGGCAAACGGAGCGATCGCTGATCCTGAGCGGTTGCATTAAAGGACAAACTCCTGAGGAGTCCTTTGGATTGATTGATAGGGTACTGCTTGCCAATGTGACAATTGGTTTTGACATGACACATGCAGGGACTTTGGTGCTTCTGCTTATGAGACTTTCCAGATATAGGCCCATAATGGCCTTCACTAGGCCTGTAAGTGCAAGAACAAACCAAGGCTCTTGGAGTTGTCGCCCAAATCCAATCTCTCCAGGATACCTCTCAGTGTCACGGACGTCTCGCTTTTCTGAATCCAACCCTTGAGAAGGCAAGCCTTGCAGAGCCCACAACCCAGAGCCCAGATCCGGCTCCGAAACTGGATCCTTTGTACATACTGCTGAGAAAGACCTTGGTTTCACTAGCTGGCATCAATGAGTACAAGACCTAGAGTCCAAGTTTTGGCGCCACCTGTTTCAACAAAGAACTCCCTGCAACCCACCCTTTGACCAAATTGATTCACTTGGAAACCTAGCATCTCTCCTTGACTTGGCCATTGTGCAATTTCTTGGGGCATGCTCCCACAAATGGCGGACAAAGGACTGCACCGCCATCTCCAATTGACCAAACACGTCTAAGGACAGCAGTGTACCCCAGCCATACCTTTCGAAGTAGGTTTAGCTGCTAAAGACCCTCTAGTTCGAAAACACCGCCGGATGAGACAAGGAATGAGTGAGACCCACGCCTGACTCTGGATAGGCGGCGCAAAGCATGAGCAAGTCCTCGTCCGAGTAGCTGAGGCTCCGAAGGTCCAAGAAGGGCAGTTGCCTTCAAGATTCTTTGCGGCGGAAGACAAAGGATCAGAGTCGAGGATCTGTTTCATACTGCTTCTTCTATGAAATGTTGCTTCGATCTTGGTGTGTGGGTGCAACAATACTGCTGTACAGGCATACAATAAAGAGAGAGAGAGAGAGAGATGGCTGTATGTTGATATACATGTGTATGTACCCAAGTTTCTGAGACTCTTGCTCCAGTGTCGGAGTGGGAAAAACAATACTAAAACTGAAGCTGTGATCCTTTGGTTTGCCTCCGGAGCTCCTTCACATGGACGAGAACAAGGCTTGGATATTGTGTCTGGTCGGGATGTTTGCATCTCACTTAAGCAGAGGTACATGCGTACCTGGTGCATAGATTCGCTACCGTAGAATATACATTTGGATTGAGGACTCAGGACCTCTGTAGCCGTAGCCCAGCTTCCTGGCTTGGTATTGGCGGTTGGATTCAAGGAATGATCTGCAAGCATCGGAACATGGCCCAGTGAGGTGATCCGACCAGTAATTTCAGGCTCTGCCTTCCCAAGAAGCCAACCACCGCTTGTTGAGGTTGAAGCCCACAATCCATACAGACCTGCGAGGGACGGGACCGAAATCGACCACCCAGTGATCCACACGTTTCGACACCATGTGGTTGGGATGGAGAGCCTTTCAATTCTTGCCTTTTTTAAAGGGGGTTAGGCCGTTAGAGGTAGCTACGAGTAGTAGTAGCTAGAGGTAGCTAGTAGTAGCAAGGGAGTTGCTAGTAGCTAACAAGTAGCTACTACCGACTGGACGCAGGATAGCTCACGCTCGCACTAATGATTTGATATGATTTTGGTTTCTAGATTTTTAGGGAAATTTAAGATTTGAATTGGGATCTGTCGCTGGGGCCTCTCTCAATCCACTGCCATTGACTCTTTGTAGCTTCAGAATCCCATGGATCTGAAAGCAAGCTCTGAAACCTCCACGTTGCGAGCAGTGCGAGCAGTGCGAGCACTGCGTTGGTCGCGGGTGGAAGCATCCTCCCTTGCCTTGGCATATCGCTGCAAAGGTGGAAGCGTCCCGTCCTTCTCCTCACCTGCCAGAGGGACGAGAGGATCATCTTTGCCGGGAGAAGAACCACTGGGAGGATCTTGTGGCAGGTCCCATCTGGTGCAAGCCGAAACCTAAGCAAGCTTGAAGAAGGTCAAGCACTCCTCTGTTTCTGACCAATCCCCACCAAATATTGTCCCCTTTGCCATCCTTTGAGAAATCCTTTGACCCCAAAAACATATGATTTTCACATCTGTTCACTTTGCTTCCTGGAAAATCCTCACACCTTGACTTCGGTGCGCCGACCAGGGTCGATGAAAGTCCGTTTGCAGACGAGGCTTCACCTCAGAGAGACCCGGTCGCACGTTCTTCGTGCAACGGAGTGAGATGGAGTGAGGCAAGTTGGAACCGATCTCCAAACCCCTGAATAAAGTAAGCTGCCTTGTTACTAGTAGCGATGCCCTTTGTTCCCAGTAGCTTCTTGCTCCTAGTAGTAAGGCCAGGAGCTACTAGTAGCTTCTTGTTGCTAGTAGAAAAAGTGGCTGGTGTTCATCTTTTCTGGTTTATGATTGTTGGGCGCACATGCCTAGAGAAAGCTTGAAGAACGCATCTGTTGAAAATGAGACATACGTACAACAACTTCACTCATGGACGAAGGATTAGTCCATCAGCGTCAGTTTGGCTCACTCGTGCCCAATCTTTGAAGCCCCCTGTGGCAATTGTCTGCGAGGGTGAGCTGATGATCATAATTCCCCAATCCCACAGAAGATAAGAAGCAATAAAAATGCATTAATAAATATATGTATCACAGTGAAATCGTTTGGGATAGAGCTGTTGAGGGAGTCGGTCCTCAATCGAGTAGGACATGCAGGAACCATCCAGTGCTCACCACACACGAACTACATGGGTCCCATGAAGGAAACAAGACTCCATGGGCTACATCAACTCTCAGATCAAACACCGAGCCACTTGGCAACTGGCTGCATCATTGAATAATGCTTCACCAAAAAACAACAATATCTTATGCCCTCACAGTTGCCAGGGAACAAAGACTCAACCACCTGGACCTCTCATTTTTTGATCCCAAATCATCACCAGCATGGCCTAGGGCCTAGGGCCTACCCCAAAGAGAGTACCAACTATGGCTGCGGCTACTTCCACCCCTCGTCACATCGCATGTCTTCCCAGCTATGGCTTCCTTGGTGGCTTTGATCGGCCCCGAGCCTCTTTCGGTGACGGTTTCGACGAAAGGAATGCTGTTGCCACCCAGGACTTGTTGGCATCATGCTTCCAAGTCTTCACTACCACCCCCCGGGTGCCCACACATGCGCAGTGCACTAGATCCCAGAACCATCCCACCAGATCCCACCCGTCAGCGTCAATCTGCTGGAGGCATCGAGGGCTTCAGAAAGCTCACCGGCGAGCTGAGCATCACATTCTCTCCTGCAGGAAAAAGCCACGCCAGCACCGCAGGGGGTCAGGAAATGGTTTCCAGAAATCCAAGAGCTCCACATGATGATGCAAAAGTGACACCCACGAGACGTCTCCGTTTTGTTGGCATAGTTTCGGGTCCAGAACAACTCCCCTGACCTTGCTTTTTGCAGGCCTGGCTCACCTGACAACGCCTATAGTGTGGATATGCCATACCACTGGCCCTGCCAACAAAAGAAATGAGCTTCCTTTTTCTGGCAACATCTGGCAAACCAGGAGCAGGTCGTGCTTTCCCTGGTTGTGAGACATTCCCAATGAGTTTCCAAGAGGTCCTGCAGTTCCCAAAACGGCCATGATGCAGCCAAGGGACCACCGAAGGCATGTCCTCGTTCTTCTCGCCAGCTCCGTAGCTTTACCTGGGCTGCACAAAGAACGCAAGGAGTAAACCCAAAGGAACGAAAGGGTGACTTTGGGTCTAGATGTTTAAGATTGATGCCATCATGGAGCTAAGGCAAGCAAAACTAGAGTCTAAGCCTGATCTGCTTCTTCTCTCTTCTATGCTTTGGCATCTCCAAGTGGGAGCTACACAGGAACAGGTGCCCATTCATTCAAGTACGTACAGTACATGTTCAAAAGGATAATATACCGGATCCATATGGATCCATATTGTTCGACAGGTATCAAGACAAGTCAGTTTTTGCCACATCCCGGCTTCCATCTGCTTCCTAGCTGCCCAAGTCTCCGTCCCAGGCTGCCACTTGGATGAGGGCTGTTGACCTGAGATCAGCTGAAACCAACTAGGCATGGGCCAAATTGGCGATCGTCCTGCTCCTTGGACTTTGGAAGAATTTAGGGTGGACCGGCTGAATACCACCGACTCTCAGGCAATAAGTTGCAGGTTGAATGGCCCAAGTGGCCGGCCAAGAGGCCCTTCTCGTCGAAATGTTTGGATATGGAGAACAGAACATCCGGACCTTCCGCACACCAGCTTTTGGAGGGCATTGACCTCAACAAACACTTGAATTTGATTGGGTGCAATAAGCTGAAAATATGTCCACCATCGTCTACCCCCAAGTCTTCCACAACAAAGAGTCACCACAGACTGGCACGTTCCCAGCGGCTGGCCATCTCTTTGATGGCACGCAAGGGTTCCGAGACGATGGCCGCCTGGTTGACTTCGATTCTCGCCGTGGAGTGTGCGACATCGAACGGAGTCGACTCGCCGTGGATCACCGATCTCCCTGATCGCCTGCTTATGCTCCATGCGGCAGCGCATGCTGAGGAAA